ATCATCCTTATTCCTGGTTTAGTACACTGTGGCCACCAAAAAAACTCAAAAATAGTAGCAATTATCAATTATTTGTAGATAATTATTTGTTGATGATGTAAATACCTGATCATCAATATAAAAACATGTTTACTGACCTAAATGCCCGAATAGTGGTGAGTCCTTCAGCTGTTTCTGAGAAGTGGCAAAGCAGAGGGAGCTGGGTACTATCATCAAGTTCCTGGAGATCCCTAGGACAGACAGAAATGCAAAGATAAGCTTCATGTGCATTCAGGATCAAGCCCAAGTGTTCATTTTAAGTTATTTGTCATTGTAACTATTTTCTCCCACCACTCAACAAAAACTTCAATAGCTCACAACTTAAAGAGGAAAGGAAAGATGGGTACATAATGAATACGGATCTAGGCTGAATATTATATGTGTTGTACAACAATACAGCTTTGTATAACAGCCACAGAAAACTGCTATGGGGACAAGAAGAATGAGCAGTTAAATCATACCTAGGCAATGGGTGGTATTTTCTTTGAGCAGGTGAAATTTAGGCCAAGCCTAAAGTATGAGGAGGGCTTCAGCCAAACAGACAAGAAGAAGTGCATTCCCGCTAAGGGAACAACAGTAGCAAGCACAGATGTTTGAAAGGTCCTGGCAAGTTCAATCAGACTGGTGCCTAAAATCCTTTGGAGGTGTCATCGTGGGAAAAGGCTATTTAAAGAATGGGTGTGACTAGATGGTAGAGGGTCCTGAATGGGCTAAAAAAATCACTGAAAATTAGAAGCAAAATGATAAGTTATGCTTCAGCAACATAACTTGGGGGACAGTATAAAGGATAAAAAAGGATAGGTGAGTGAGGAAGACCAGTTAGGATAGTCTATAAAAGAGATTTTTTTAACATTCTGAATTAGTGTGACACTGGTGGGAGTTAAAATGGGGGGCGGGTGTATTGTGAGATAGACTATTAGAAGTAGTAGCTTTCCAGGCTGTAATAATCATAATAGTAATTATAACAGTATGTATGTAGAAGGGCAAGTAAGAGAGAAGAGTGTTTTGAGCTTAGCTAATGTGAAAAATGACAGTTCTGTTGACTAAGGAGACTGAAGAGCTGTGAAAAGAGAAGATAATGAGTTTGGTTTTGGCCACAATGAGTTTGAATCCCTGCCTTTGTGAAACTTCCAGTCACAGTTCATCTAAGGAACTATATATAAAATAAGTAAAGTGTTCAATGAATGTTTGGTGCACAAATGCCTGAATCTGACCCTTTTCAAAAAGATGCACACTCATAACAGTTTTCTTGAAGTTATATAAGTTAGTATTCCTAGAAGATAAACTAAGAGTTACACCATATATTTCCAAACATTTCTCTTTTTTCTTTTCTGT